TTCTTCGAGGTCTTTGAACTCGCAGTGCTTGGCGGCCTTCCGTAATGCGGCGATGAATTCTTTGGCCGACTCACCGGGCCGTTGATCACTCTGCTCGAAGGTGTGGCGCCATGCGATGACGGACATCTTGGGGTGGAAGTGCTCCTTCAGTAGCTTCTTCAGATCTGCGTAGCTGACAGACTCTACTGGAACAGGTGCTGCAAGGTTTTCTGCGATGTCGAAGGCGTCTTGACCGCAAACACAAAGCAGGGTGGCAGCCTTCAAGCTCTCTTCCCTCACTTGGTTTGCCTTGAAGTAGTTCTCCACCCTGGCTACGTATGACTCCCACCGCTCTGGATGTGAGACGTCGAACTCCGAAAGCCTTCCGATTTTCACCATCTTCAGGAGACGGGTCTATCAGCCAGCCTACCCCCGAATGCGCACTGGATTGGCGGGTAGCTGCCGAGTCGACACCGTTCCGCCGCTCAGGACTCACTTGGGTAAGCTTACACTTCTTCCTTTTCAGGCGGTGTAAGGCAATCCCACCTTCGTCGCCAGTGTTGAGTCCTTGGCGCAAAGCAGACACGAGAAGCAGTTGGCGTTCTCAGTTTTCTTTATTCTGCGTTCAGCTTACAAGTAGATGGCTTCATGGTTCCCAAACGCTCGCAGCCTCTTATATAGGCAACTCCTGGGTAATTGTGTTACTTTTCCCGCGCCAGCACCCGCGCATGCGCATGGCGCTGGCGACAGCCTGTCTGGTCCCGGGCAGCTTTGCACCTGCCCGGGACTGCCTGCAAACGCCCGAGCCGTTTGCAAGGCTCGGGACATAACAATTAGGTTCTCTCAATATGCTAAACCAATAATTACCAATATTTGGAGTTACTGTAATGTGAAAATCCCCCAGTGAAGAGCTAGAATAGGCCGGTGTTTCAGGGTTCAGGTTTTACTGCATGCCAAGAGAAAATAATTGGCCATCTAAGCTGTGATGTGTACACACTTCATACTGCCTTTTCTTCCACGCACTTTTCTCAATTGTGCAATGTTGCATTACATTTTGCAACCATTTTTGTGAACTACCCAATTTAGGCTCTTTTTATTACTGTGGGTTCGTTGAAAATGCAAGTTTGCACCAGCAAAGATTTGACAGGAAGCGAAATCTAGACTATAATTGGCATCTTCCCCTTAGCCAAATAAAAAGGGTGGGGAGCTTGTCAGAATCCTGCTAACCTACCTGGGCAGAGTTTTCTCCGGGGAGTGCCTTGCTTTAAGCTTCTTCCCTTTTTAGTTTACCTGTGTAGGTTTTTGCAAATCTTAGGAGAAATCTAGAGGCATCCAGATTTATTGAACCTGGTATATCTTTCCATGAATGATTTTATCTGGTGACAGGATCTTAAAATTTGCTGAATAAAAGGCTGAGAATCATTAATGTATATCAGAACAGCCTTTGGAACAGGCATGTCAAACTGCTGGCCCGCGGGCCAGATGCATCATGCCAAAATCGCACCCACCCCATCACCGGCAATGGGGAAAAAGTCACGATACGTCATGCAATGTCACGTGACGTTGCAATTTTGACATGCCTGCTTTGGAAGCTTTGCTACCAGATACATCCCTTCCCTCCACAGGAGGGACAGTCCTTTTGAAGTTGTGCAAAGTGCCTTTTTTGCTTTGGCACACATACACATGGGTTCACGGATGTTAATAGCTGCCTGGCAAATCCCAGTTGTATAACTTCACTCCAGGCTGAAAAACCATATATGGACAAAAAGCAATTACCCAGCTTTAAAACGTTGCATTTTCCTTGGGAGCAAGCAGAGGAAGCTTTTATGATGTGATTTCTTTTACTTCGTCCTGGAATTTTTGTCCAATCTTGCCTGTTCTATACAGCACTTTGGGTATTCTATGCCAAAGGAGGAAAGAGTAGATTTAATTTTTAAAACTCAATTTGGGCTTAGTACAGGTAATGCTGAACTTATGGCCACAATTGGAATCAGAATTTCCATTGCTAAGTAAGATAGTTATTAAGTGACTCGCACCTGATTTTATAACTTTTTTGCCATGATTCTTAAGTGAATCTTCTGGCCATGCAGAGCAAGCTTCCCCCATTGACTTTACTTGTCACAAGCCAGCTGGGAAAGTTGCAGATGGTAATGACATGAGTTTGGGATGCTTCAGCCTTCATAAATACAGGCTAGTTGCCAAGCACCCGAATTTTGATAATGTGACCATAGGGCTGCTGCAACAGTCAATAAATATGAGGACCAGTTGGAAGTCATGATTGATTTCTGATCCAAAATATTTTAAATAGGCATTTGTTTTCCTGGGTTTCCAGGGTTTTTTTTTTGGGGGGGGGGGGCGTTGGAAACCCCTGAAGATCAAAAAAAAAAAAAAAAAAAAAGACATGTGATACACCAACCTCACAACTGCTCTGAGTCAGTTATGGCACATAGGAGATTGATTGATTTATATACCTCCCTAATCAGCAAAAGACTTCTAGTGCGTATGTGATGACTGGTTATTAGAACTGTCAGTCAATGGGAGCACAGGGAATTGCCTCTGAGATTGTATTCTGGAGGTAAGGAGAATTGAGGATAGAGGTATTTAGGAGGTATGAGTGGAAGGCTGGATCAAGGGAGACTCATTGTCCTCCCAGTCAAGCCTTCATCTGTCAAATTGACAGATTTATGAGTGCATATTTAGGGACAGAGAAAGATAGGACTGACAGCTTTTGGATCAATTCTAATATTAAGGGAATCTCTTTGCAACCTGTTTTAAGTTATTTAATAAAAGTTAATCCCTTTCCTTTTCTAAATGCCAACAGAGGGCTGTTCTGTACTCTCCTCACGTTTTAAGAGTTTGCTTGAATTTTGTAGAAAGAAAGAAGAACAGGATCGTCATAAGAGGAGAGAGAACATGTTCGGCTTAACATCATAAAAGCATAACATTAACTGTAAAGATAGATCTCATTAATCACACAATCAGCTTGTTTTTCTTTAAAGTAAAACTTAAACCTGCAATTTATATTTACTTCATAATATATGTGAACAAGGCAGTTGCCCAAACAACGGTGATGGAATTCCCACCTAGCCTAGTATAACCATGGTGGAGCCTGAGAGATCACCAAACACATTTTTTTAAGAAAATCAAACCCAAACCCCAGACGTGCCCTATTTCCAAGAAAATGGCATGCAAATTAATAGTTATCAATGCAATATCTCTCATTTTGTCACTGACTAATTGGAAAAGTTGCTCCGGGAGATTAAAATTGAACAGACCTTTGTGATGTTCGTGTTTTTCCTTTGGGATGGAAAATATTGCTTTCTTTGTTTTTCAGCTAAATAGCTTGTTAATGTTAAGAAAACATTAGAAACAAAGTTTGAAAAAAGGGATTTTTGTTGGTCTTTTACATAAATAGACCCAACAATTCTTACATAAAGATGGAATCTAGCTAGCTAGCTAAATAACAGAGTTAGAAGGGACCTTGAAGTTCTAGTCCAACCCTCTGCTCAGACAGGAAATCCTACATCATTTCAGACAAATAGTTGTCCAATCTCTTCTTGAAAACCTCCAGTGTTGGAGCACCCACAACTTCTGGAGTCGAATTGTTCTACGGATTAATTGTTCTCACAGTCAAGAAATTCCTCCTTAGTTCTAGGTTGGTTCTCTCCTTGCTTAGCTTCCATCCACTGCTTCTGTCCCACCTTCAGGTGCTTTGGAGAATACATGGCAGCCCCTTAGAGACTGGAACACAGCTATCATGTCACCCCTAGTCCTTCTTTTCATTAAGCTAGACATCCCCAATTCCTGCAACTGTTCTTCATATGTTTTAGCCTCCAGTCCCCTAATCATCTTTGTTACTCTTCTCTGCACTCTTTCAGAGTATGGTATGTATGTATGTATGTATGTATGTATGTATGTATGTATGTATGTATGTATGTTATGTATTTTCTATGCTGCCCATCTCAGTAATACAGCAACTCTGGGCAGCTTATAATATAATAAAAGTTTTTTAAAAATGCAAAGATTGTTGAAAATGTGTGGGATTTGTATCAACATTTTGGATGTTCTCCTCTTTTGCTCCAAATTATTTTTAGAGGTTTGTTCATTCATTCTGAAATACTTCTTCCATCAAACGTTTATCTTGGTGGCTTTGGGCAAGCTAGAGTTGATTTTTAGAATGACGTAGGTCCCTGATTGGCCAGTATGATACCAATTCTATACAAGGCAACTTGAAAGAATGAGTGTAATGGTTATGACATTAATGCAGATCACTGTCGCCAACTGGCATTGTCTGCATGTGCTGAACTTAATTCCCAGGACCCTTAAACTGAGATATATGAAGTGCTTGGAGAATTTTAATCTGTTATTGTATATAGGTAGTCCTCAATTTATGATAACAATTGGGACCAGAATTTCTGTTGCTAAGCAAGGTGCTTGTGAAGTGACTCTCACCCAATGTTATGACCTTTTTGCCATGGTTGTTAAGCAAATCTTTACAGTTGTTAAATGACGAGGATGTAGAGCAGTGGTTCTCAACCTTTTTAATGCCACGACCCCCAACCGGTCGTAAGTCGAGGACTACTCAACCGGTCGTAAGTCGAGGACTACTCAACTGGTGCAGCACCATTTGCAGAATGGGACTTTTGGCGGGCTCAGCAGGGCAGAGACAGCCTGGACAATTCCTATTGGCTTTTGAAAGCCAATAGAATTAGACTCTATTCAAGAGAGTCTATTCTATTGGCTTTCAAAAGCCAATAGAATAAAAGGGAGTAGCACAGCTAAGGAAAAGGGGGGAAAAAATGGCAGACTGCGTTGTTTGGCGACCCCCGTGAAATGGTTGTTCGACCCCAAATGGGGTCCCGACCCACAGGTTGAGAACCACTGATGTAGAGATTCCAAACTGATCTGCATTTGACCCCACCCTCGGGCTCAGCCTAGTCATCTCCAACATCAATAACCCTAAATAACCCTTTTCTATAGCAAATGTTTGATTGATCCAAGTCACTCCTTGTGTCCTGCAGGAATCATCCATCTCCCTTACGCTGAAATCGAAGAGCCGTTCGAAGCCTGGTATAACCTAACTGGGAACAAGAGTCGCATTGAATATTATAATGGTAAGAAACTGGTGCCCTCACTAAATAAAAAGAGAAGAACCAGAAGATTTAGTTTGGGGGAAAGAAAATCCCCCAAAGGGGTCAAACAGGTCAATAGCAAACCAGGATATGTTGACCCAACTCTGAAGATTTACTATTTGTTAATCAAAGTAGTATAGCTGCCTGCCTCCCAGAAGCAACTCTGTGTGGAATAAAACAACTACTATCAAAACAATAGATATAAAATTTCACATTCAAAGTTAATTTTAGGAAAGGCTAAGAGAGGATAAAATGACCACCTGCCTCCAATTCCCTAGGATCTGGCAAAAGTACAAAACAAAACAGAGAGCAAATCCTGCTTGCTTCTCGCACTGATGATATTACCTAGCTGGGTAATGAAATTCCTGCAAGAAAACAATCAAACTCAGAGAGCACCAAGGACCTTGTCTCAAGAATAGGGGTGACACAAAAACAAATGCAATATATGGAATAACATTGGTTTTCTTGCACATGGCAGAGGATTGGGCTGGTCCCTCTTGGGGGGGGGGACATAGAAGGAGGAGCATTGTTCCTCTTAGGATCTCTGTCCCCAGGAGACAACTACAGAAGGCAGCAGCATACGTTATGGCAATTTCATTGTTTTACTGGATCAGGGCTTGAATACTGTGGTCTCTTTAGATTTCTCAATCTTAGCACAGCTAATTAGAGGTACACCGTGCTGATCAACATGATTTTCCCAGCTAATGTAAGCAGAAAGGCTATCTAAATTATTAAACAGATAGTCAGCAAAGTTGTCTTGTAGCTTCTTGGTTCCAGAAAGATTTCTCAAGGTGGAGAAGACAGTGAGCAAAGCAGCAAGCAAAAAAGCAACCAATGAAACAACTATTGATTAGAGGAGCTCTTACACACTATATGCACACCCTTACACGCTTCACACACATATACCAAAGCACTTCTTTTTTCTCCTAATTTATAACCTGAAAGTGTTGGACTCTGGCTAGCCAATTTTCATCAGTCTTGTCATGAAATATTGCTACAATTTAGAAAACGGTTAAAGGAGTGGTTGAGGTGCTCTCAGTCAGCTTTTGATCACAGACATCGTGATGCACGGTAAAGTACTTTTATCCATCAGATGTACTTTGACTTTCTGCTGATCTTTGGTAGATCATTGTTATAATCCACTCTAGCGTGGTGTTACATTTCCATGCACATGTATGTTCAGATGGACATACAATTCATCAAGCAAAAATTCATCATGATTGCTAGAAAGGTTGTTTGCTGGACCAACCTGCCGAGAAGCTTACAGTCTGTTCAAACAGATTCTTCCTGGTTCAGCACGTCCTTGGCTTTTGATTATCCAAAGAACCTTTCCCACGGTTTGTTCCAACTCCACAGTTCTGTGATTAACAATGAATTAGCAGGAAAACTCCAGCCCAGTGAAGACCTCATTGAATGAATCTGAGCTACTGTAGCTTAGTGAAAAGAGTACATGTGTTTTGAACGTAGCAAGTTCAGGGTTTAGTCCTTGACCATTACATTGTAAAAGTCTTTAGTCCTTGACCATTACATTGTAAAAGTCTATGCAGATTCTCAGTCATCCAGGTTGTCCCAAAGGTGCTTTTTCAAGAGACAACTGAACTTTTTTTGTTTTTCTTTGAAGACATTTCGCTTCTCATCCAAGAGAGCTGAAGAAACTTCTTGAATGAGAAGCGAAACATCTTCAAAGAAAAGCAAGAAAATCCAGTTGCCTCTTGAAAAAAGCAGCTTTGGAACTCCATCGTAAAAGTCTCTAATTTAAATTGATGGAGTGCCACTGCCAAGATCTGGTTCACAAATTGCATGTGGTTTGGGCTTTGGGTGGTGGGTGAACTTTACCTTTCAGACTTAAAACATGGCTTGTGGCTTTTTATGTTATGTGAACCTAGTCGATTGTGATGGTTTCTCCAAACTATGGTGGCTTCCCACCCACATATACATGTGAGCTGCATTCACTATCAAACATTTGAGATAACCATCCCACCAACCACAGTTCAGGACATCACCATAGGAAGACAACAGAGCATAGGGAAACAACTAAGCTAGATGACTATAAGGACAGTTCCCCAACTCATAAAGACTGCCAGGAAACTCCACCGGAGAAGATGTTTCAGATATGGGCGTCTCTCTAATGGGCTTCTATTTTATCTCTGTATGAAGAAGTGCTCCCAGTTAGGCAGCAGAAGATCTAATGAATTCATTTGTATGGAAGAAAGAAATTTAGGCATAATCCTCTACATACCCCAGGAATTTCCTTGTACTGGCTGAAAATCTGCCTTCCCCTCATTCACCTCCTGCAAATAGTATATTAAGGAACTGATTTGCATTTTTCAGTTGGGAGGGGAGACTGACCTTACAAAAAATATGCAGAGTAAGTTTATCAGGATACCAGCATCCTACTCCTTGAAAACCATGAGAAAAATTCTCCCACTCCTTCCAAGATCATCCATGTCTTTACGGTCCACATTTGCCCCCTCTCAAAATCTGTATCAGCTTGCTTGTTGAACACAAAGGACATTTCTTTTTTTTTCTCTGTTTTCCTTTTAATTTTTAAAATACTTTTACCATATCAATTTAAAAAAAAACTATATATTTTTTTTAAAAAAGAATGAGCCACCAGATTTTCTCTGCAAAGAAATTCTGGGGTGGCTTCTCTGAATTTCCCCAGGGAAAGGAGAATTTTGCCGTAATGTCTCAAGGACAGAACTTCCTTCCAATGGTGACAGTAACACCACTCTGAAAAGTCCTGTGGGAGACTTTCCTCTTCAATTCTTTTCCTGTGATTGGAAATGTGGGGAGCCCAAGAGACTGCAGGTCACCAGAGACAACTTTGACTGACAAATCTGCCTCATTGCTAAATGAGTGCAAGAAACCACATTCCACCGGGGAAAAACTTCTCCAAATTCTCTTCTTCTTCAACACAAATTAACAGAAAAACAGAGTTGGAAGGGACCTTGGTAGTCTTCTAGTCCAACCTGCTGCTCAAGCAGGAGACCCTATACAATTTCAGACAAATGGCTGTCCAATCTCTTTTTAAAAACTTCCAGTTTTGGAGCATTCACCACTTCTGGAGGAAAGTCATTCCACTGATTAATTGTCTTAACTGTCAGGAAATTTCTCCTTAGTTCTAGGTTGCTTCTCTTCTTGATTAGTTTCCATCCATTGCTTCTTGTCCTGCCTTCAAGCGCTTTTGAGAATTTACCCCCTCTTCTTTGTGGGAACCCCTTAGATATTGGAACACTGCTACTATGTCCCCCTAGTCCTTCTTTTCATTAGACTAGACATACCCAGTTCCAACAACTGTTTTTTCTTTCTTTTATCCAATTGAATGAGAAGTGAAAGGAAAAATTGCCTGGCTGCTCTGTTGCATTCTTGTTTGCCTTGGGGATTGGGGGTGTAGAGAAATCTGGACTTGAAGGGAAATTGTGGTTTGGAACATGCATGGATCTGCTCCAAATTATATTTTGCCCTTTGAATTGGGAGCTCTGCACAACTATATGGGTTCCTAGGAAGCAGTTTCAACAGATTGCTTCTTACTACACAATCTCTTTACTTAGGAAAGCCAGAGGTCCTTAGTGCATACGCAAAGTGTGTGCTTTGTGGCTTAGCCACATTTCTTTCCTTCTTCATTTGTGTTTACCATTGCTCACGCTGTCATGTTTTGCAGGCCAGGTGGTGACACTGCAGCTTGGATGTTTAGAGCCCTATGGTGCCTTGTTCAAGATTACACCAGCAACCACAGAAAAGGTGGTCAATATTCAGAAGTGCTTCCTGATAAATGGCACCAAAGAAAGTCAAGTGAAGCCACAAGGGGTCTTTCCCAGCATGAAAGATTTCAAGGTGAGTTAACGATGCTCAGCAGCTGGAGAAGAAATAGGAATCCAATACTTGGATCCAGAAAGTTGGCTGGCTGATCTTTGGGAAAAGACACTGCCTACCTTCACACCGCTGTTATCTCAGGGTTTGTGAAGTGGGCAACAGTATAGATACTCCTTATCACAGTTCATTTAGTGACCCTTCAAAGTTACAATGGCACTTTTTCAATGCCATTGTAATTTTGAAAGGTTACTAAACTAGGTAAGTCAAGGACTCCCTACTTCTGACCAATTTTCACGCTTATGACCGTTGCAGCATCCCCATGGTCATGTGATTTACATTTGGAAGCTTGACAATTGGTTCATATTTATGACGGTTGCCGTGTCCCAGGGTCCTGAGATCATGTGATCAGCTTTTGCGATCTTGTGACAAGCAAAGTCAATGGGGAAGCCAGATTCACTTAACAACCATGTTACTAATTCAACAACTGCAGTGATTCACTTAACAAATGGTGCAAGGAAAGTCATAAAATGGGACAAAACTCACTTAACAAACTTCTCACTTAGCAACATAAATTCTGGGCTCAATTGTGGTCATAAGTCAAGGACTACCTATATCTGGGTTATCACATACTAAGCCATAACTTTAGGTTGTATTAACCATTCAGTTGTGTCTGATACCTGGTGGCTTTATAGGCAAGTGCTCTCCATGTTCTCCATCCTTCCTATGTTGTGGGAGCCCAACCATTGTGATTGTAGGCTCTAGTTATGGCTTTTCAAGCATGGCGACACTTAGAAAGCCATAACTAGAGTATACAAATCACAATGGTTGGGGCTCCCACAATATAGGAAGAAGAAACCAAGCAACTCTCATTATTGTTGAGTTCCAGCATCAGGCTAAGCTGTGGTCTGTTTTTAATCATGGTAGCCAAACCAAACCAATCTTCAAAGACATAAGAACATACCTTATGTCTAAGCATAACCAGCTTCTCTTAACCTCAGTTGCTTATGACGAAATGTGAATTGCAGGGTAGAGTTGGTCAAAACCAGAAAAAATTGTGAAGAATTTTGGCAATGCAAAGTATTCTCCACTTGTTCAGGGGTGGGTGGAAATAGGAGAATTTGTCAGTTTGTGGTGTCCACAGTGAATCAAGCATTCTATGTTTCTATTTTTGTCTATTTTTGCAAGGAAACTCATTCTTATGAAATCTTTTGTCTCTGCTTGCACTATTTTTTTAAAAAATCTGAATAATTTCACCCTTTCTCTGCCCAACACATTTCTTTAAGACTGAACTTGGGAAAAATACCGTTCACATTGCAAGTTTCCCTCTGGCATTTTGGGTGGACCATGAGATATTTAAATTATAGCTTTCTGTATCTTATTTGGCAAGTATTTGCAGCACCTGACCAAGTGCTAGATTCACCCATCATGCAAAACAATGATAGTCAACATGGCTTGTTGAATAAGACATTACTTGCTCGTACATTTCACTAAGCTATAATCTATGGTTTACAGGCCCTAATGGCCAGGTTGTCTCAACTTATTGGGCCAGACTGAACAAGCCACATTAGTTGGATTGATGTAGCACCAAAATTGTAATGTGGGTTTTATGATTTGCTAGTGTGCTGTGTAGACATAGTCAATGTGATTTGTGAATCATCGTTATAATGTAGCCTGGACTTGGTTAAATTGTGGTTCATTTAGGAAATATTTTATTTAGGAAATAAAAAAAAACATTTCAGCCATTGGTTGGAATGTGTAGTTTCAGAAAATATTTTTTCTGATATTGGAGGTCTTCTCCATGCAAAGCAGACCTTCTACTATTGAGCTGTAGTCTCTCCCCAGCTCACCTACCTTTGGAGACCAGTCCATCTTTGATGGCTCCAAGAATCACTGTACTTTCGGCGCACCCCAGTTCTTTCGACAGACCATGGGAAACACTAATATCCCAGCCCTCCTCTTTTTCGATAGGCCTGAAAAAGCTGTTCCAATTGAAAATAGCACATGGACCTCAGCCACCTCAGCCAGCTCAGCCAGCCCTTTGCCTCAGTGAGTCAGCCACTTCCTTCTGCAGCAAAGCCGCTGCTATCGTGCCAAGTTTCTAATAAAATTGCAAAGCAAGTTTCACCCAGATGCTGTTGTCTTGACAGTAATGAAATCTCTTTCTGCGATGGCTGCTCAAAGTGGCATTTGTCACACACATCTGATGGCAAGCTGTTATTTGACCTATGCGAAATCACTGTCTGGAAGAGCATGATGCTACAGATGTGGGCGAGAAACGTTGCAGTGTTGTTTTGCTAATTTGCTAATGCAGGACTCAAAATCCACCTTGCCTTCAAAGACCCCTGAATTATGGAAGCCTGTCTTTCTGATAAAGGCAAAGGTTTCCCCTGTCCAGTCATGTCTGACTCTAGGAGATGGTGCTCATCTCCATTTCTTAACTGAGAAAACCAGCATTATCTGAAGACCGTTCTGTGGTCATGTGGCCAGCATGATTATACACCACAGTGCATAGAATGCTGCTACCTTCCCACTAAAGTGGTACCTATTTATCTACTCACATTTGCATGCTTTCGAACTGCTAGAACAGGGGTCTTCAAACTTGGCCCTTTTATGATTTGTGGACTTCAACTCCTAGAATTCCTCAGCCAGGCATGCTGGCTGAGGAATTCTGGAAGTTGAAGTCCACAAGTCATAAAAGGGCCGAGTGTGAAGACCCCTGTGCTAGATTGACAGGAGCTGAGGCAAGAGATGGGAGCTCACACCATGCTGCAGGGTCCAGTTATCAAACCTGGGCTGTCAGCTTTTCAGCTTTCCAGCTGACAAGCTCAGTGTCTTTAACTGCATATAGAACTGCCTTAGAAGCTGGATTTCTTAACCACTTGGGATGTGGGCTATTTGGCTGGAAGTAGGAAAACCAAGAGCCCACAGGAAAAAGAGCGATTCTTTAACATGTCCAAAGAGTGTTGTGGGTTCCTTGCGACCTGCTATCACGTGGTTTTCCTTTAGGTGAAAAAGCACTTGGGATAACATTGATAACCTCCATTCCACTTACAAACGAAAGCTATGCCAGTCAGGGGAAGGAAAGATAATTCAACAGGAGAGCCCCTGCTTTCTTCATAGAGGTGCCAAATTCAACACCTGATATCACTAGCAATCATTACTTCTGTATGGATTAAATCAGCCATGAGAAATTCTTCTTCCAGAAAATTGAACTGCCAATTGAAAAAGACAACTAGTGTGTGACTCCTGTTGGCTGAAAGACCACCCAGGCTTCTCTATAACACGCCAAGGCTACACTCCAAAAGAAGATGAAGACAAAGGAGAAGCCAGAGGATTTAAAATATAAAATAAGTTCCCCAAACTTCTGCAAAGATGATTCCCATTGTTTCTTAAAGCCATTCTCCAAACTCTAACAAAGCAGGAGAACAGTGAAACATTGAGCTCTGGATGAATCTGAGGGCACCAAAGGGGATACTGGGACTTTTTACCCCCCTGGGGTTGATTCAAGGCTGGGATCATATATTATCCTAAGCAATCATGTAGCTTTAGTTTATTGCGATGTTTGAGCCTGGCTATACTGTGGTTTGCAAGCCATGAATTCCGATGCAGTATCTTGACTGACTTTAACCAATTGTGGGTTTTGTTTTTCAGTACATAGTTACAAGAACCAGGCTTTGTGTAGTATGCAATCACAATCAAAAAGCCTGACTGGAACAATGCAGTTTGAAGGATCCTTGGTGCTCTCTGAGTTTGGTTGTTTTCTTGCAGATGTTTCATTACCCAAACTAGCACTGATGATGTTCATCAGTGCTAGTTTGGGTAATGAAAAGTCTGCAAGAAAACAACCAAATTCATAGAGCACCAAGAACCCTTCATTTCACCCTGAGTTACAAATATTCTCCTTTATTGGTACAATGCAATTTCCTATGTGCCTTTTTCAATGGCTTCTCTCTGCTGTTCCTCCAGTTTGTAAGAGAAGAATACTACAAAAACATATACACCGCCGTTTGGCAGAGCACAACCCACTGGGGCAACAAGAAGAATATTTATACGATGTGGGTGACCAATGCCAGCTGTGGAGTCACCCCAGTACATTACGAGATGAAAGGTTACAACAACTTGCTGGGATCCCACTACGACAAGTATGAAATTGATTACAGCGACTTCTCCAATAGCTTCCCAGCTTCCATCTTTGTCCTGAAATCAAATGGTAAGTCAGAAGGATTTATCTCCTGCCTGTATTGAAAAATATTTGGGGAGATGGCCCTCAAACTTTTGCCCATTGTGTTCAGGGAGGGTGGCCATCATTGTAAACTTCACAACTCAGCAGGGATCAGAACCATATGTCATGCCCAAGCAGACTCTCTTTTGAGCAAGAAAAACTGAAGCTAAGAGGTAAATTCTCAAGTTAAATCTCCATGTTGGATTGGATAGCAATCAGGCGGTTTTACTACTCAGAATAATCTATAAAGATTGAGAACAAAAGTGTAGAGCAGCGGCTCCCAACCTTTTCTATATCCCGTATCCCTAGAGCGCTTCTGATATATTCTCGCACCCTTTACAAAAGTTTGAAATATAGGCAACGAATTATACATATACACTATAATTTTGAAAACCCAAGTTTTCACACCCCTGGAACAGTGTCTTGCACCCCCAGAAGGTGTGAGCACCCCCGGTTGGGAACCCCTGGTGTAGAGGGAATGGCATTGATGAATAGACGGAAGAGTAGCTACCAAGGTAGCTGTCAATAAAAGGGATCCAAATCCAGGACAAAAATGTAACATGACAGAGTTGGAAGGGATCTTGGAGGTCTTCTAGACCAACCCCCTGCTCAAACAGGAGACCCTATACCAGTGATGGCAAACCTTTTAGAGACCAAGTGCCCAAACTGCAACCCAAAACCCTGAATGGGTTTCATCTTTTATCTTCACGTGAACTAGAGCAGTGGTTCTTAACCTTTTTGAATGAATCGCCCCCTTGAGCCAATGAGGAAGTTGTCATCGCCCCCCTCCTCCAACATAACCTCTCAATCACAACATAGGAAATAATTCTTCCATTTATGCAAACACTTTTTTTGTTTTCTTTAAAATTGTCATCAGGACATATCGATGCAAATAATTTATTTCCAGTCTTTTTCCCATATCTCCCATATTCTGGCCAATGGCGCACCACTGTATGAATAAAGGCTGCTGCGCAACGTGCATGAAGATAAGCGATGCGTCTTCACATTTGTACGGCATTCTGTACTGAAGCTAGCTGGAGGAACATTTAAAAACACAGTTCAATTCGATCTGATGTTTTTGTACGACAGATATACACCGATTCACTGTACGAAAAAGTCTCAAAAGTGTCCCCAAAACTTCTCGCTCCATCGTCCCCATATCGCCCCCTTTTCGTTCCATCGCCCCCCTGAAAAATGAAATCGCCCCCTGGGGGGCAATATTGCCCAGGTTAAGAACCACTGGACTAGAGAAGGGCTTATGCATGTGCAGTCTCTTCTTAAAAGCCTCCAGTGATGGAGCACATGCATAAGCCCTTCTCTAGTTCACATGAAGATAAAAGATGAAACACATTCAGATGTGCAAAGTTCTGTTACTAGAGCCTTACAATAAAAGTAGCATTAACCTACATGGCATTGTTTTCCTTGTTTGGTCTACCTTGAGCAACTGACAGAGGATAGGCTTTGTTCATGAGCAAAGCTATAATATGTTACGTCTGCTTTTATGTGAGGTTTAAGACAAGCTCTTACAGTTTGTATTGTCTGATTACGCCCACTATTATGGCTTAGTCAACTATGTTTGAAGTCTTCAAGCAGAATCTTGATAGTCATCTGCATAAAATCCTATAATGGATCCTGCATTGCACAGGGGATTAGACTAGACTAGATGATCTCTAAGCCCGTTCCAGCTCTGATTCTATAGTTCCATCATACTAAAGCCATCTGTAGTCTAACCTGGCATTAGGTAGCCTGGCTTCTTATTTTTTATGGGTCTGACAGAACATAGGAGCCATGTGAAGTATTAAATGTAGGCAGTCCTCGACTTACGACCATAACTGAGCCCAAGATTTATGTTGCTAAGTGAGACAGTTGCTAAGTGAATTTTGCTCCATTTTATGACCTTTCTCACCACAGTTGTTAAGCGAACCATTGCTGTTGTTAATTTAGTGACATGGTTGTTAAGTGAACCTGGCTTCCCCATTGACTTTGCTTGTCAGAAGGTCGCAAAAGGTGATCACATGACCCCGGGACACTGCAACGGTCATAAATATGAGTCAGTTGCCAAGCCTGTGAATTTTTATCACATGACCACGGAGATGCTGCAACGGTCATCAGTGTGAAAAATAGTCATAAGTCACTCTTTTCATTGTGTTGTAACTTTAAACAGTCACTAAATGAACTGTTGTAAGTTGAGGACTACCTATATGCAAGTGACATGCATTTTTTCCAACTTTATGGGCTTCCTTATTTGGTCAGTTTCTGCGGTGGCCAGGATACTGTTCCTCCAATAGCTCAATCGTCTCTTTAACCTGTTTGGTTATTTGTTTCTTTATTCATCCCTGTCATTTTTGTGCCACTCCACTGGAAACCAACTGTGAACAGCCCAGAGCAAAAATAAGGATTAAAAACCAACAGAACAAAGACAAAACAATGTGAATCATATTGACGAACCCAACAGGGACAGATCCCAAATTTATCCCCCCAAAAAATATTCTGTCCCACTTGGCTGCAAAAATGGTTTCATCAGAGAAATGGTGATCCATATATATGGGGTCAGGCTATTTTACATGAGGGATACTCTCATTCAGAAGGTCCGACTATGGCAGGGGTAGGCAACCTTGGCTCTTTTATGACTCTTGGACTTCAACTCCCAGAAAGCTTCAGCCAGCATGGCTCAGCTTGGAAACCTCTCCCTTTCCCCTCAGCAAGGATGGCTCAGGAATTCTGGGAGTTGAAGTCCACCAGTCATAAAGGGGCCATAGTTCCCCCATGATGGCTCAGGAATTCTGGGAATTGAAGTCCACGAGTCATAAAAGAGCCAAGATTGCCTACCCCTGGACTATGGGATCCCTACAGAGGGGGCTTCTTAGGATCTGTCTCTTGACCAGCTGACATCTCTCCTGAATGGCCTTTTCCATTTTATATAATTGAATGATTGGAATGTGTTGTATATCCTCGACTTGCAAAAGTTCCTTTAGTGACTGTTCGAAGTTACAATGGCACTGAAAAAGTGATTCGTGACCGATTTTCACGCTTATGACCATTGCAGCATCCCCGTGATCAAAATTCAGACATTTGGCAACTGACTCATATTTATGAGCGTTGCAGTGTCCCGGGGTCATGTGATCACCTTTTGCAACCTTCTCACAAGCAAAGTCAATGGGGAAACCAGGTTAACTTAACAACCCTGTCACTAATTTAACAACTGCACTGATTCGCTTAACAACTGTGGCGAGAAAGGTAATAAAATGGGACAAAACTCACTTAACAAATTTCTCACTCAGCCACAGAAATTTTGGGCTCGTTTGTGGTCGTACGTCGAGGACTACCTGTAAATACAGATAGTTCTCAACTTACAATCCATCCTCATGCTTATAACCATTGCAACGTCCCCAGGGTCCTGTGATCAAAATTTGGGCACTTGACAACCAGCATGTATTTACAACAATTGAGCTGAGGTGGCGCAGCAGTTAGAGTGCAGTACTGCAGGCCACTTTAGCTGACTGTGTTCAGCAGGTCAGCAGTTCAAATCTCACCGGCTCAAGGTTGACTCAGCCTTCCATCCTTCCGGGGTAGGTAAAATGAGGACCCAGATTGTTGGGGGCAATGTAAATATATATATACATTGCTTACTGGTGTACACCGCTTAGAGAGTGCTTGCACTTAAAGTGGTATATAAGTCTCATAAATAAATAAATAAATAAATTGAAGCATCCCAGAGTCACGTGATCCCCATCTGTGATCTTCCCAACCAATTTCTGACGAGCGAAGTCAATGAGGGAAACCGGATTTGCTTAATGAACACAGGATTCATTTAACAATTGCAGTGATTCACTTAACAACCGCGGCGAAAAAAGTTGTAAAATCAGTCGAGATTCACTTAACAACTGTCCTGCTTAGCAACAGGAATTCGGATCTCAGTTGGCGTCGTCAGTTTGGACTACCTGTATACTATGAGAAAGGAACAGCATAGCAATAACAGCAAACAGTTAACAGTTTTCTCAGCTGGGATAACAGTTTCCTTATTTCTTTCTGTGCCCCTTTGATCTTGCAAACCTGAACAATTGTATTGCTTTCCAAGTGCCATTTTTCATCTCCAGCAGCTCCCATTCCTGGCAGTACAGGCCAAAACTGACTTCAGCCACCCAAATCAAAAAGCAGATTAGAGAATGCCCTGCAAATGACCTTTTGTTTTCTTGCAGAGAAAGGGACTCCCAACATTTCATCTAAAAATGTTGGCTTAGCTGGATGCTGAAAAAAACGACACCATCTGCCTTTATCCTCCTCCTCCTCTTCCTCCTCCTTCTTCCATTCCACCCTATCAGGGAGCTTGCAGAGATATTATATACGATGTTAATTTGGGCAGATATTTATGGCTTGTATTACAGAGCTTCAGATACAATCTCCACCCTCTCCATAGGCCTTGCTTAAGGCACTTGGAAACTTATATGATCTTTTAATGACTTTCTGGTCTGTGGATATGTGCCCTTCCCTTCTCTGTTTTCCATTGTGATTTGATGTTTGGCAACTTGGATCATGTAAGCTAGGAAAAATTTATTCCTGCAAAAGAGACCAGCATGGCTTAAAGCCTCATGCTCTCCATAGTATTTGAATTTTATCGCACTTTTTTATATATAACTCAAGACAGTGAACATACCTTAATACTCTTGCCTCCTCTTTTCCCTATAACAACTGCTCTGCGAGATAGGTTGGGCTGAGAGAGAGAGGAGTGCTGGTTGGGGAAGTCTGGGAGTCGAATTCTTCCTATCTTTTAAGTTGCCAAGATTCTCTTCTCCTGCTGTTGATCCTTTCTCCCTGGCTCTCTATTCGCCAGTTAGGAAGATTCTCCCTCTCTCTGCCTTATACAGGAAGTCCCGAACTTACAACTGCAATTGGGGCCAGAATTTCTATTGCTAAACAAGGTGATTGATTCCTGCCTGATTATTATTTTTTTTGCCATGTTTGCTAAGTGAATCGCTGCAGTTGTTGAGTGAATCATGCAGTCATTAAGCGAATCTGTCTTTCCTCATTGACTTTGCTTATCAGACGTTGGCTGGGAAGATCACAGATGACAATCCAATGACCCTGGGATACTGCAACTATCATAAACACATAATAATAATAATAATAATAATAACAACAACAACAACAACAACAACATTGGAAATGACCTCAGAGGTCATATAGTCCAACCCCCTGCTCAGGCAGGAAACATGCTGGTTGCCAAGTGCCCAAATTTTGATCTTGTGACCATAGGGATGCTGCAACAGTTGCTAAGTGCAAGGAAAGACTGTAAGTCATTTTTTTCAATACCGTTATAACTTCAGACGGTTATTAAACGAATGGCTGAAAGTCGAGAGCTACCCATAGGAGAACCTAACCCTCAGAAGTCTTCAGATTCCCTGGTTTCAGAATATTTCTCTGGATTTGTGAAATGGACTGTTGCATTTCAGTGCTCCATGGGTATTGCGAAACCCACATGTGCATTGTGCTTCCTCCTAGAAACACAATTGTGTGATGAGCTGCCAGGAGATTCCACTGAGCACCACATCATGGCCAACCCCATGGCTGATTTTGTTGGTGGACAGGAGGATCGTGCCCACAGCCTGTTCCACCATTACAGAAAACGCTTTGGAAAGAGCTATGACACTGAGCAGGAGATGGACCATCGGAAGCACACCTTCACCCACAACATGAGGTGCAAAGCCTCAGAAGAAGAGGCAGAGGGAAGGAGGGGGGTTGGTAGAAGGACAGGAGAGAGGAGAAAAGAACTAGTTTGATGAAAAGGAGGACTGCGGGTGACATGATAAAAGTCTTCCAATATCTGAGGGGCTGCCACAAAGAAGAGGGGGTCAAGCTATTCTCCAGAGCACCTGAAGGCAGGACAAGAAGCAGCGGATGAAAACTAACCAAAGAGAGAAGCAACCTAGAACCAAGGAAGTATTTCCTGACATCTAGAACAATTAATCAGTGGAATGACTTGCATCCAGAGGTTGTGGGTGCTCCAACACTGGAGGTTTTTAAGAAGATACTGGACAGTCATTTGTCTGAAATGGTATAGGCTCTCTTGCTGGAGCAGGGGGTTGGATTTGAAGACCTCCAAGGTCCCTTCCAATTCTGTTATTCTGTATTCTGATGAAAAACATTTGCTGTCTCAGAAGAGCTTTCTCTGTAATCAGTAAATGTGCTCATTATTGCAGGAAAGGCTTGAAAAATAATGATGATGATGATGAAGTTGATGATGATGATGATGTTGGAAGGGACTTTGGAGGTCATCTAGTCCAACCCCCTGCTCAGGCAGGAAACCCTATACCATTTCAGACAAACGGCTGTCCAGTGTCTTCTTAAAAACGTCCAGTTCTAACTGTCAGGAAGTTTCTCCTTAGTTCTAGGTTGCTTCTCTCCTTGGTTAGTTTCCATCTGTTGCTTCTTGTCCTGCCTTCAGGGGCTTTGGAGAATAGCTTGACTCCCTCTTCTTTGTGACAGCCCCTGAGATACTAGAACTCTGCTATCATGTCCCCCCTCATCTTTCTCTATTAAACTAGACATACCCAATTCCAGCAACCGTTCCTTATATGTTTTAGTCTCCAGTCCCCTAATCATCTTTGTTGTTCTTCTCTGTACAGTTTCTAGAGTCTCAACATCTTTTTTTACATTGTGGTGGCCAAGATAGATTTTACAAATAATTAGTTGCACTCTTTCCTCTTTACTATTCCTTAATATTTTGACTTTAGCTCTGCCGTATTATTTTAACACAAGTTCAAAGGCTTTCATTGTCATTTGTACAAAGACATGGGTGGCAAGGTGAAAGCTTCTTTTCTCATCTCACCAGCCAAGTTTTAATTCTGTGCTTCCCTGGAAGCATTAGCATGTAAACCATTCTGATGTTATCCTGTAGTATCAGTGGTGAAATTAGTTTACATCTGAGATTAAAATGCATAATCAAGAACATTATAAAACAACACTTGTCAAAACAAGCAGCAATCAAACAAGGCTTAGAACTGGTGCCAAAAGTTCTCATAAACTACCAAAAGTGAAGATTGAAAAACTCATCCAGAGGTCAAGCCTGGATAGTTGAGAGTCCCAAAATCGTGGGGCCAGTGACCATTAGGGTGATTAGAAGGTACAAAAGGGAGCATTCATACTTAACAGCTGTGGTAGCACAGTGGTTAGAATGCAGTGTTGCAAGCTAACTCTACATTCCACTGCCAGCAGTTCAATTCCCACTGGCTCAAAGTTGGTTCAGCCTTCCACCCTTCCCAGGTCAGTAAAAGGAGGACCCAGATTGTTGGCGGCAATATGCTGACTCTGTGAAACCACTCAGAGAGTGGTGAAGTGGCTTCTAGAAGAAGCCAGATGCCACGTCCACCATTTTGTGAAGGTAAAAAATGTGGGCCATATCTTAAATTTTAATTGTTTCTTTGTCATCAAGAAAGTAAAGAAAGTACAATTTCCAAACAAAAGGAAAAAAAGGATAGATTTTAGGTGGGTGTCCATTACTTGCTGACTCTCCCCTCCCACCTTGGGCCTTTAAGGGTCAGAAAGTTAGATGATATCCAGTACCTGGCTTAGCTCTTCCTCTTCCTCCTCCTTTCCCAGGTTCGTCCATTCCAAGAATCGAGCCAACCTTCCATTTAAGCTGGCCCTGAATCACTTGGCAGATCTCACCCTGGAAGAGATGGCTGTGATGAGGGGGAAGCTCAAGAGCACGACACCCAACAAGGGGCTGCCCTTTCCTGAGGAGATTTACACAGGCCTCATCCTGCCAGAAAGTTTGGACTGGAGACTCTATGGTATGTATTGGTAGTCTGGGATGAGCATGGTTAGTAAACTGTCATCTTTGTGACAGTCATTCAGCAGCACAGAGGAGGTACATCTTCCAGGCCTTGGTGGAACCATAGATGGTTGGTTTTGTATAGCTTGTCTGAACCTTTGACACTTTTTTATTACTTTTCTATTTTAAGTTTAAGTCATCCAGACTCATTTTGGAGTTGGGAAACTTCTAAATCTCCCATCAGCCATGACACATTGTCTAATTTTTTTCTCTTCCTCAGCCATGCTGCCCCATCTTCAATGCAGGCAGTCCTCAACTTATGGCCACAACTGAGCCCAAAATTTCTGTTGCTAACCAAAATAGTTGTTAAGTGAGTTTTGACCCATCTTACGACCTTTCTTGCCATAATTGTGAATCACTGCAGTTGTTAAGTAAATAACATGGTTCTTAAATGAATCTGGCTTGCCCATTAACTTTGCTTGTCAGACGGTCACAAAAGGTGACCCTGGGATACTGCAACTGTCATAAATATGAGTCAGCTGTCAAATGTCTGAATTTTGATCATGTAACCACGGGGATGCTGCAACAGTCATAAGTGTGAAAAGTGCTCATAGTCACATTTTTCAGTGCTATTGAAACTTCAAACGGTCACTAAATAAATGCTTGTAAATTGAGATTACCTCTACATCTGTACCTCTAGTCAACCTTCTGTTTCTCGAATTGCCATTGAATTCACCTGAGGTGAAAAATAGGCAGCTTTAAACCTTTATTATTTATTTGTATGTTTGTTAGTTTAAAATTTGTTTGCCACCCATCTCGTCACAAGGCGACTTGTTAAGCCATCGTGGCCTCGTTCCAACATCACCCAGCCATTAAGAATGATTTATACCAACTTCAAGGTTTGGCTTTGTACTTCATTGTCAGATGGAAACCAACAAGAATGTAGGTTGGTGTTAGTAATAAATCAGTTTCCTGACTTTTTTGTTTTATTTTTAGATTTTTTAATAGTTTTTATTCAAACAGGGAGAGGATTGATTCCCTTCCTTTTCCAACACAGTTTTTATCATTTATTTGCAAACCACAATATAATAGTGTTCTAATTTTCCTTCTATTCCCTTTTGTTGCAATTAATAATAGGATGTTTTTGCTGATTGCTCACTTGGACCACTTTTTCACCCAGACATTGCATCTTCTAGAATCATCCAACTGTTACTGTACCAAAAGAACAGTAATGAGAATAGACTTTATATCACCAGTGATAGTAGAGGAATACTAGAAGATTTTGAAAATCACTAATGGAGAAATAGACTTTGTCCTTGCCTGATGTGACAAAAAAGTTGATCTAGGTACAAATACTAAATGGCATAGGTAGAAAATGCAAAAGATAAAAATTAAAAACTTGATTGTTTTGGGATGGATGGATAAAAGTTAAACCTTGTTCTAAATATCCTTTGGATTTTTCCTATTGCAAAAGAAAAAATTATGGGATTCTGATCTTGTTTGGCAGCATTTGAAGATAAATAGCATAACAGGAGGTATGCAGAAGGATGGCAAGGCAAGTGTGCAAAAATTTTCTCTTTGCTCTTTCCAGGGGCAGTGACTCCTGTCAAAGACCAGGCTGTGTGTGGTTCCTGCTGGAGCTTTTCTAGTACGGGATCCCTTGAAGGAGCTCTCTTCCTTAAGGTAGGAACTGCTTCATTCCTTACATTTTGGAAGATGTCGGTTAGTAGGAGTGTGTAAAATTCAAAAGACCCTGTTCCAAAATATGTTCATGTTAATTGTTTGGAAGGGAGAATTGCAGCAGAATGTTTCAAGCCTGGAAAATTTTGCATCTCCAATGCTTTGCCTAATTCTCATGTAGGCTGTCGAAGAACCACTATTTGTCTGTCTATCTGTCTGTCTATATCTGATTTTTATAGAATAGAATTCTTTATTGGCCAAGCGTGATTGGACACACAGGGAATTTGTCTCCGGTGCATAAGCTCACAATGCAGATATAAACAGCAAGTAATAGGTCATAGGTCATAAATCATAGTTACAATCATTAATCGTGTTACAAACAAAAATTGATAAATCATAAGAAACCAATAGGAGAAGATAGTAGGAAAGATGAGAAGATGATAAATGAGACAGTGCTATAAGAATTAAGTGTTCGGCAGAGTGATGGCACGGGGGAATCCCCTCTTTATAAGTAACTCAAGGTGGTGAACATATCTAATACTTCTTTCCCTTCCTGTTTTCACCCACAACAACAACCCTTTGGGGTGGGCTGGGCTGAAATAGAGGGATTGGCCCAGTCATTCAGCCATCTTTCATGCCTAAAGTGGGACTAGAACTCACATTCTCCTGGTTTCTAGGCCAGCACCTTAAGCACCATACCAAACTGGCTCTCTGTTCTGATATTGATGGAGATTGATTGATACAGATATAGATGCAGATATCACTATCCTGGTCTTGTTTCCAACAGGTTAATATCACTAGTGGAAGTTACAGAACAAACATTACATCAGTAACCAAAGAAAAATAACATAAGTAACTAGGCTAAATATGGAAATAGAATAATGGATGATTTATATCAATACGTTTGCCAGAGAGGGAAGTAATATCCACCAAAAAAATCTACATAGGGATATGGCTAAGGTTGCCAAACTCTTTCAACTAACATCTTTAAATAGTTTGTTTTAACAAGTATAAATGTTTTTTTTTCGACCATTAGTTTTTACATAAGCAAATAGAAATTAATTCGTTCCTCTTCCTAATTTAATTGTTTTGAATAATGCATTTAATTACAAATTAGAATGATGTTGTAGGATGGTTGTACAGCATAAACTAAGATTAGCATTTTGAGAGTGGCTCTATCCCCATAATATGGTCAGCCAAAACAAAGAATCAACATTATAGTCCAGGGCTGAACAGGTTCAGGTCCTCAATAACCTATGGATTTTAACTCCCAGAATTCCGGGCTGGCTCAGGAATTCTAGGAATTGAAGTCCACAGGTGGTAAAAGGCCCATAGTTGCTCATCCTGTTACAGTCCAATCCAATGACTTGGTTCATAGAACTCATTAAGACATAATATGGTTGCTTTAATTTTGCCTTAGCCACTAGGGCTTATCAAACATATTTTATAGAGAACATTATGTGAATACAGGTAGTCCTTGACTTACCACAGTTTATTTACTGACCGTTCAAAGTTACAACACTGGAAAAAGTGACTTATGACCGTTTTTCACACTTAACAAGCGTTGCAGCATCCCCATGGTCATATGATCAAAATTCAGATGCTTGGTAACTCGCTCATATTTATGACGGTTGTAGGGTCCTGGCATCACATGATCCCCTTTTGTGACCTTTTGACAAGCAAAGTCAATGGGGAAGCCAGATTCACTTAACAAACTGTGTTAATAACGTAACAACTACAGCAATTCACTTAACAACTATGGCAAGAAAGGTTGTAATATGGGACAAAATTCACTTAACAAATGTCTCACTTAGCAACAGAAATTTTGTGCTCAGTTGTGTTCGTAGGTCAAGGACTATCTGTACAGCCAATAAATCTACCAAAGATGAAGTATATTTCTATTCTGTTGGTTATTTTGCACAAGAGAAAGACATCATAAGACAATGCAGAGCTCCGGGCTCAGTTGCTGTGTTCGTGCTCCTACTTGTTCCAAAATATTTCTTCAGTTTGGATGCACTACACAGCCCTAGCATATAGCCTCTTAGAAACACTTTCTAAAGATCCTTAGACATGCCAATCAAAGCACTGGTGATTGCTCAGTAAGGCTTTTGGGCCTGTTTTTTGTTTAAAAGAAAACCCACATACGGAGTAATGTTCAAAAGTTGCTATTCAAAAGTCACTCCAACTGTAATCTTCTAAATTATACCATTGACATTTTTTTTCTTTAAAAAAAAATACAGCAGCTCTAGCAATGAAACAGAACAAAACTGGAGAGATTAAAACTGTTCCTATAGAGAAAACAAATTCCTGAGCTGAACCCACATTCAGCTAGAAAGGCTAGAAAGAAATCAGCGCTCTAATTTGTGGGGGTGAAAGACTCTAGAATGGTGCTTCTGATATTTATGATAATTCAATCAGGTTTTATCCTTAGTTTGTCTTTCACATTCCATTGAACAGAGGTCCCCAACCTTGGCAACTTTAAGATTTGTGGACTTCAACTCTCAGAATTCCTCAGCCAGCTTGGCTGGCTGAGGAATTCTGGGAGTTGAAGTCTACAAGTCTTAAAGTTGCCAAGGTTGGGGACCCCCCCTGCCATAGAACTTTGTGTTGTTCAGAGTTCCAAAGGATGAGAGTAGAACAACCCTCCTTAATAGAAAGAAGGACTGTTGTTCTGCAAAGCACAACAATATAGGTAGTTCTCGACGTAGGACCACAATTGAGCCCAACATTTCTATATGTATCTAAGCAAGACAGTTGTTAAGTGAGTTTTGCCCCATTTTACAACCTATCTTGCCACAGTTGTTAAATGAATGACTGCAGTTCTTAAGTTAGTAACACAGTTGTTAAGTGAATCTGGCTTTCCCATTGACTTTGCTTGTCAGAAGGTCGCAAAAGGGGATCACATGACCCCAGGACACAGTAAATGTCATAAATATGAGCCAGTCGCCAAGTGTCAGAATTTTGATCATGGTGCTGCAACAGTCATAAGTGTGAAAAACGGTCATAAACCACTATTTTCAGTGCCGTTGTAACTTCAGACAATCACTATATGAATTGTTGTAAGTCTACCTGCATGTCTGCTAAGCTGTAAAAAAGGATGCAACTGCTTTCTATAAAAAAAAAAAACTGTATATACACGCACACCCTTCACTGTGATTTTTCTGATGCCATTAGGAACTGCAATTGGTAGCTTTGCTCCCTTGCCAGGAAATGCAACCAAGCCTGAACAAAGTATTTTTGAGCCCTAGTGGTGTAGTGGTTAGAATGCAGTATTGCAGGCTAATTCTGCCGACTGCCAGCAGTTCGATTCTCATTGGCTCAAGGTCGACTCAGCCTTCCATCCTTTCAAGGTCGGTAAAATGAGGACCCAGATTGTTGGGGGCAAATTGCTGATTCTGTAAACCGCTTAGAGAGAGCTGTAATGCACTGTGAAGCAGTATATAAGTCTAAGTGCTATTGCTATTTTTATTCTATTCCCCAGACTGGCAACCTCATCCCTTTGTCTCAACAAATTCTCATCGACTGCTCCTGGGGTTTTGGAAATTATGCTTGTGATGGTGGTGAGGAGTGGCAAGCATTTGAATGGATCCTGAAACATGGCGGCATTGCCACCACCGAGTCATATGGGCCCTACAAAGGACAAGTGAGTGACAGAAACCCATCTGTCAGAGGGGCATCCAGAAGACCTCTGTGTTGTTTAAAATATAAATTATTGCAGCCTTTTTCTTGTTTTATTCTTGTGACAACACAGGAGCACAAATATCTGACAGTGGTTTATCAAAAGAACTGTGGTTTAATATACAACATGAAACAACAACATTCAGGGAGCATACAGAATACAAGGTAGTGAGTTATATTCAAATGATTCAAGTGAGCGAGAGATTCTAACTGTCATTCTCATACACAGTCCCTTAAAGGGACACTAGCCCTAAAATACTCTGCTGACTCATTCTCTATACATCACTTCTGCCGGTCAACTACTAAATTATAATTACCTTGACACTCTGCTTACTGAGAAAGATCAGTGTGGCTTAAGACTTGCTCTGAAAGAGAAGCCAATTGGCAACTAGTTGTTTCTAGATCTGTTGGGATTAACTGTTGAGGTTGGAATTAACTAAAAGCAGAACCGCAACACAGAGTTTGGAACAACTGCAGTTTGGGGATAGTAAAGGGAGGCATACGATCAACTAGGTGGAAATCTTAGGATACAGATAGTTCTTGACTTATGGCCACTCACATGCTGAGTGTTCTAAGTTATGCATTTATATACAGGTAGTCCTCGGCTTACGTCCATGGTCATAAATCACTTTTCCAGTGCTGTTGTAATTTTGAACAGTCACTCAACGAACCGTTAGAAGTTGAAGACTAGCTGTACTGCTTTGAATGACTCCTTTGGAGATGGGAAAATGAGGCTGTAAATGACTATGATAAAGTTGTGATTTATTAATGCTTTTAATAATAACCACAGCATCTACTTGTAGAGGGCTCGCAGGGGTGGCCCCTAAGCCAAGGGGATTGATGCTACAGCAAATGGAATCCTGACTGTGGGGTGTGTTCTCTTTCTACCAGAATGGCTACTGTCACAGCAACGAGACTCACCTCGTTGGCAAGCTCTCAAGTTACGTCAATGTCACTTCTGGGAATGCCACTGCTCTGAAGGCTGCCATTTACAAGCACGGTCCTGTCTCTGTCAGCATTGATGCCGCCCACAGGACTTTCTCTTTCTATTCTAATGGGGTCTACTATGAGCCCAAATGCAGTAAGTTTCGGAGCTCTTGTTCCATGGGTTGTTCGTCCTGATCTTCACAATGTCTCCTTCCTTAAGCATCTGAGCCAGTTTCCTTCTGTTTTTTTTTAAATGTACTTTTATTATAGATTATAGCAAGTTTAAGAAACCAAAAATGACATAATTACACAGTTGACTGAAATACATTGATGGAGCAAAAATGCTGTATGGAAATACCCTTAGCTTACCACATTAATGTGGAACTGATAAATCAAGATGCAATTTGGAAATTACATTCCAAGAACAGTTCATACTGAACTGGGCCCAAATTATGCCCTTAGGAGAAATCTACATATGTCATATTTGTCAAGTATATCCGACGCCGTCCGTGAGGAAGAACAACAGGAACGCCGGTACACACTGAACTCACCGATCACTTTATTGTCAAGATGAAACAAAGTCAGCACTGGGAGTGGTTTCCTCCCAGCGCCTTATATCTACATGCCACACCCTGTGTTCCCGCCCCCAAGTCCAAGCCAACATCCGCTTGACATGAATAAATGCCCCGCCCTGTCCCTGTGCTCTCCCTGTTGCCGACGGAGCCCCACCCCTGCGCTCCTTGGCCCGTGTGTCCGGCCCGCGTGCCGTCCTCCCGTCGTCACGCTTTCCCTGTCTACCAGCCCCCCTTCCAGGTAAGTAACCCCCCCCTGCTAGCCCCGCCAGGGTCCCCGGTAGCTGCAGGAGGCCTCCGGTCCACGGTGTCTTTCCGACGGCCGTCCGTTCCACCGGCCCCGCGGGGACTTCCGGGTGTACCATCGTCAGCTGTAACGCGGGGAACGCCGGACTTGCCGCCGCCAGCTGCTCGCCGGGACCTTCCCGGCCCGTATCCCGATTGGCGTCCATGCTTGTCTGTGCGGCTGCGCGAAGAGGCGGGGCCACCATGTATTCCGGCTGAGGCCGGGCACCAGCTGTCACACCGTGGTTGCCGGGGTTGGTAGGCTGCCGTCCGCTTCTCCCCCATCCCCGTGTGTATGTCAAGCTCCCGGGAGCTTGACAATATTTCAGCCAGATCCTTGGCTTCCACTCTGAAGGAAGAAAACAGAGAAAGGGATACCAGTTTTGAAGACTACCAAGTTGGATTAACTTGAGCAAGGGTAGTTGAGAAGGGAGAATTGTTCTGCAGGACTACCTACACAATGATCCATGTGCCTGTGCTAAAGATTGGCTTGGCTATGTGTGCAACATAGTTATGACTATTAATCTCCAGCTGATGCAGTCCTGTTTTTCAATATGCAAATGATGATCCCATTCATTCTCAAAACTCTAATTATAGATGTTCCAAAGAGCTTAAGAAATAACAAATGCAGGTTCAACCAATGGAGTCTTCTCCATTCCTACTTCACCAATCCAGAATAGGTTCAGATTGATACTACCCTATGATATAAAAAAGATATTGAGATTCTCTAGAAAGAGTACAGAGAAGATCAACAAACATGATTAGCGGACTGGAAGCTAAAGCATATGAAGAACAGTTGCAGGAATTGTCTACTTTAATGAAAAGAAGGACTAGGGGTGACATGATAGCAGTCTTCCAATATCTCAGGGGCTGCCCACAAAGAAGAGGGAGTCAAGCTATTCTGCAAAGCATCTGAGGGTAGGACAAGAAGCTATGGATGGAAGTTCATCAAGGAGTGAAGCAACCTAGAATTAAGGAGGAATTTCTTAACAGTCAGAACAATTAACCAGTGGAACAGCTTGCCTTCAGAAGTTGTGGGTGCTCCATTATTAGATGTCTTTAAGAAGAGATTGGACAACGACTTGTCTGAAATGTTATAGGGATATTTCTTCAATAAGATAATTTCAATGTAAAATTTCCCAATATAAACTCTTTTTTTTAAAAAAAAGGCATTTGTGATTGTGTATATGAAACTTTTAGAAGCGTGTAAAGTTTTTTGGGAGGAGGAGGGTATGTAGATGTTTTGTGTGTGTTTGCAAATTTTCAGTTGCAGAAAAAATGCTGATGGGCGTTATTTGATGCCAATGGTCAGAATACTGAGGTTTCCCAAATTCTCAATTGCTAATTATAATTCACATCCCTAACAGATATAGCTGTGAATCATGGAGCAGCAGTAAAGACAGAGAGAAGCAGAGAAATTGCATTGTTGATTAATGTAGTTGTGAAGCCCACAATTTGCATTTTCATCACTGCAATAATAAACATGACCATTTAATCTTCACAAATTACGTAAATCTAGGATTTAAAATTCCCAGCCTGGGTCACTACTTAGTCCCAATGGTGCTGGTGCATTCTTTTGCCTAATCACACATATAAAAACCGCATTTTGTTCTGAGTTAATTCTTTTTATTTTCATCTTTTTTAGAAAACAAGAGGGGCGAGCTAGATCATGCTGTCCTGGCTGTTGGTTATGGTGTCCTTCAAGGAGAGCTTTATTGGCTCATCAAGAACTCTTGGTCTACATACTGGGGCAATGACGGTTACATCCTCATGTCCATGAAAGACAACAACTGTGGTGTTACTACTGACGCTGTTTTCCCAATTATGTCTTAATGGGAGCACAACTTGGCTGATTCCTTCAATCAATTTCAAAGAAAATGCAAATCCAGTCCTTTCTTTCTTCTTTTATTGAAGCAGGACCATCTTCTTCTTATCTCCTAAACTTAATCTTAAATCATAAAACTGAAAGAAACTCAAGAGATACATGTCAATAAAAATTCTCGGTCATGCAGATAGAGTTGTCTGGAAGTTGAGTCATGGCAAAGGGACTCCTTTTCTTTTTGGTTTGAAACTTGTTACTGCTTTTCCAAGTAGCTTCATTAGCCTGAGCAAGTTGGTTAGGGGGATCCTCTAATTAAGCATATATACAGTTCCCCTAACCAACTTGCTCAGACTGAAGAAGCTACTTGGAAAAGCAGTGAAGAGTTTCAAACCAAAAAGAAAAGGGAGTCCCATTGCCATGACTTATCTTCCAGTCAAGAGGTACATATTTTTTAGAACAACTGAGTTGCTACCGTTGATGAGTTTTTCAAGAACACAGGCCATTTCGCAAAGGATGTTTTGCCTTGAAAAGCTGGGAAGGGCTGCCCCAAATAAACAAAATGGCCACATCCGTTCTCCTTGGCAGCACCCAACTAAAATGTAAGCAGGATTTCGGCTCTGTTTTCCAATAGTTTAGACATCTCCAAATCTTCCTCAAGCTTTCTCCCAAAAATATGAAGAAGGAAAATTCATTGTGGATTCTACATTTATAGGTAAAGACTTCCTCCAGTCAATTTCATCTTGATTGAACATGGATGATTCCAGGTTGTTTCCTTAGCGATGGTGTATATAGGGAGTTCCCATTTACTTCTTCCAGCTAGCCTACATCCTTGGATATCCTTGAATCTGCAAGTAATACCAGGTCTGCCTACTGACTAACTAACTAACTGGCTAACAGGTCTATTGTCGAGATCAATTACTGACAGAGAAATGCTACCATTTTTTTAGCCTATCAGTTTTTTATGGCATAGCCTAAAGTCCCTAAACTGCATTTATTCCTCAAAGCTTTAGGCCTGCAGAATTCTCTAAAAATTGCTGCTAAATTGTAATTTTGAGCAGAAGGGGGAAATAAAATATGGAAATAAAAGGTTATTACTATAATTGAACTAATTTCATACAATTTTCATTAAGTATGTGTTTAAATACAATCAAGTTTATATCCATGTAAACATTTAGTGTGATTTCTAGCAAGCGGATCAAAATGTGACTGTCACTTGGAAGAACACTGCTATTCTAGGTTTTTTTAAAAAAAACAAAAACTAAAACAAATTAATGAAAAGAAGAACTAGGGGTGACATAATAGCAGTGTTCTAGTATCTCAGGGGTTGCCACAAAGAAGAGGGAATCAATCTATTCTCCAAAGCAGCTGAAGGCAGGATAAGAAGCAACGGATGGAAATAAACCAAAGAGAGAAACAACCTAGAACTTTCCTGAAAGTTAGTACAATTAATCAGCGAACAACCTGCCTCCAGAAGTTGTGAATGCTCTAACACTGGAAGTTTTTAAGAAGAGACTGGACAGCCATTTGTCTGAAATGGTATAGGGTTTCCTGCCTGAGCAAGACCTCCAAGGTCCCTTCCAACTCATTATTATTATTATTAGTAGTAGTAGTAGTAGTAGTAGTAGTAGTAGTAGTAGTATTGGTATTATTATTATTTCTCCATCAGCAGTCTTCAGAAACTTGCCGGGGAGGAAGGCACAGGGTGAACTAAATCCTGTAATTTGGAGCAGACTCTCCAAAGACACAATTGTTGAAACTACCTATGCTCATATTCCAGGCCTTTCGTAATGGTATAGCTCAGGGGTGTCAAACTCAATTTTATTAAGGGCCGCATCAGCATTGCGGTTGCCCTTGGGGGGCTGGGTGGGTGTGGCCAGGGTGGGTGCGGCCTACTGGGTGGGCGTGGATGGAGTGGCGTGGCCTACTGGGTGGGCATGGCCAGCTCTACATCCTTTGCGTCAAGGGTGCCTGTGGGGGCCTGGGCAGGAGTGGGACAGATCTGAGGGTGTCTGGCAGAAGGGGGTGGGACCAGGGCAATTGTCAAGGCATGGTCCACTGGAGGAGCCTCACTGTTCCTTTCAGGCCATGCGGGGGGCTGGATGGTGGTGCGGGCTGCCCGGAACCCTGGGCAACAGAAGTCAAACGCCCAGCTTGGCCCTCGAGCACCCACGGCACCAAGCCCAGCCCCACTTCCCCAAGGGGGCACCCAGCTGCACTTACCTCCTCCTCAAGGCTGCTGCTGCTGTGCTTGCTCTCCTTACCCAAGTTACTCATGATGGGTATGAGGGCAAAGTTAGAGGGAGGCCCATTCCCTCTCCATGGGAGAGACCCGGTTTTGTATCCAAAGCTTTCTTAGCAATAGAATGGGAGACCCCCAGGATAGGCCAGGAGGAGGGGGCAAGGGGATGGTGAAAGGGCAGCAGGGCAGGACTAAGGCAGGAGTTCCCTCAGACACTCCCTCTCCTTTCCTTCCTTTCTTCCTTTCTTCCTAAGTACAGAGTGGTGGGAAAATATTTGAGATGAGGGAGGGAGAAAAACAGGCAAGAAACGCAGCTGGGGAGGTGTCACCCTTCATGAGGGATGAAGAAATGCACCATCGCCTGGAAGTGGCCAGCAGTTGGCCCTCACCTACTTCACATACCTGGCTTGGTGGACTCTGGGGGTGGGGATGCCATGAGCAGCGTGAGAGTCAACGTTACTTGTGTGATGACGCCCAACCTCCAGCCTGCCTGGTCTCAGCAGGCAGCGGGGCATTCTCCTCACAATGCCAAGAGGTTGAGCCGGGCGGTGCGAAGCTCGCCAGCTTTGCACCTTGCTGCCTGCTAAAACTGGGCAGGCTGGGGGCAGCATTGCACTTCTCATCAGATTCACACTGCCCAGCTCAGCCTCTTGGCTCTGTGAGGAGAGCACCCAGCTGCCTGCCAAAACCCCTCCCCCAGAGCTCATCAAGCCAGATATGTGAAGTACGCCAAGGCCATTTGCTGGCCACTTCCAGGCGATGGTGCATTTCTTCATTCCTCACAAAGGGTGATACCTCCCCAGCATGCACCTGGGGGGGCGACACGGCAGGGGCTGGTTCCTCACTGTTTCCAGGCAGCCTTGTGAGCTAAGACTGAATGCGTTTCAGCATAGATGCCCACCACCAAATTGTAAATTGGCTCCCTCCCGGCTGGCCTGGACCAGGGCCAAGGCAGCGGGGGCCGTTCCCTCACTGTTTCCAGGATGTCTTCGCGGGCCACATGAAACCACTTCGTGGGCCACATCTAGCCCCCGGGCCTTGTAATTGACATGTCTGGTATAGCTGCATAGCAATCAAAGGAGGATTAATCGCTAATCAAAAGGCCAGGTTCAGAAAAAGGTGAGACACGGAGTTGGTGTAAGAAGATTTAATCATCTGTGACTTGAGCCAACCATGAACATGTCACCTTCACAGGAGCTACTCTGCTGTTACCAGCTTAGACTGATTTAATCAAGATAGACAAATTCTTGTCAATTTTGCTATGTGTTCAAGGCATGTAAAGCTTCTTAGTATATGCCATCTCAAAGACCAAGAAAGACATGCAGAGTTTCTTCTAAGAAGTTTCCTTTCTGCCTGTAGACAGAAATTTTGCCAAACTAAAGCAACTATTTGTACCCTTAAAGACATACATTCTAAGAACTCCTGGGAATCTAGACTACAGATGGCTGATACTGGAAAGAATGTAAGAAAAACTTCACCCAGAGTTAGCTTATAGGAGAGATGGGCAGCATAAAAACTTATTAAATAAAAATGTTTGGCTGTCCTTTTCTGCAATCCAGGCCCCTAGTATCTTTTTCATGGAGAAACACATGCTGTACACCAGCCTTCCACAACATGTGTTAGTCCTGCAAGATAGTTCAAACAAGAAGCACAACCAGGTGTACTAGCTCTATCTTTAATGTAAGGTCGCATTAACACAGTGATCCCCAATCTTTCTGGCTCCACGGATTGGTAAAAGCAGCGGCGGCAGCAACTGGGGAGAAAGGATGGCTTCATGCACGCAACCAACACTTTGTGCACTTGCCCACCACTTGTGTGGCCCGGTTCCCAACAGGCCATGGACCAGTAGTAGTTGGAGACCCCTGCATGAACAGAATTGATTAACAGGTATTTCTCCCTTCCTTTCCCTTTACTCTCCAGAAAACTAAGGAGAGTCCCTTCTAAAATGTTTCCCATGCCCTCTCTCCTTCTGCGGGCTGAGATATCTTTTACATGCTTGTAGTCCCATCTGCAAGTTTCTCTCCTGTCTCTCAAAGTCATTTCTAATATCATTACCTCTGCTACTCTCCAGATGTGGTAGGACCTCAGTTCTCAGACTTCTTGTCCCACCTAAGACATCTGGAGGAGGCTGAATAGACAGAAACTGCAGTCATCTTTGTAACCAAGAAGTGAATTTTACCATGTTGTGCCATTCCAGGCACCAAGCCACCTCGGGGATCTTCCCACAGGGAGTGGGGAGGGGAGTGCTTTCCTTAACAGCTGTAGCATCTGAATAGTTTCAAGAAGGAAACTCCAGAGATTGGATTGACATAAATTGCTTTGGAAATATTTTGCCTTGGGCATGTTGCTTCGGAAACATCAAATCTCCAAAAATATCATATATAATAATCTCCAGAGACACGGCTCCGTCACATTTAACATAACAAAAGCTGGGTTCACACATCATTTGTTTATACCCTGGCTACTTTCTTTTTAAAACACAGACGCTTTCACAACAATTTTAAAAATACAGACTATAAAACATAACTATGAAGTCAAAGCAATGATCCCAATCAGAAATTAAAATAAATATAATTAAGGTAATTTAAAAAATTGGTAAAAGGAACACATGTTGCCATTTGCCAAAATACCAAGAGTTGAGACCACTGCAATCCAGGTAGATAGGTAGGCAGGCAGGCAGACAAGCAGGCAAGCAAGAGAAAGAAAGAAAGAAAGAAAGAAAGAAAGAAAGAAAGAAAGAAAGAAAGAAAGAAAGAAAGAAAGAGAAAGGAAGGAAGGAAGGAAGGAAGGAAGGAAGGAAGGAAAGAAGGAAGGAAGGAAGGAAGGAAGGAAGGAAGGAAGGAAGGAAGGAAGGAAGGAAGGAAGAAAGAAAGAAAGAAAGAAAGAAAGAAAGAAAGAAAGAAAGAAAAAGTCCAATTGCAGCTTCGGATTTTCATATTACCCATAGGCCTTATCTAGACAATTACATTTAGAGTACTGTTTACAACAGTAGTTCTCAGCCTGTGGTCTGCAGACTCAAGGGGCCATGATGTCACCATGGAGGGTCCATGAAGGCTTGAAGAAATGTTATGATTTAAATCTTGAGTTAAGTCTTGGGGATCCACAGCCAGAAAAGGTATTTAAAGGGGATCCGTGGTGAAGAAAAAGTTGAGAACCTCTGGTTTACAAGATTGCTACCTTTGAACTATGGTGCTGGAGAAGACTCCTGCGAGTCCCTTGGACTGTAAGGCGTTCAAACCGGTCAGTCCTAGAAGAGATCAACCCCGACTGCTCTTTAGAAGACCAGATCCTGAAGTTGAAACTCAAATACTTTGGCCACCTAATGAGAAGGAAGGACTCACTGGAGAAGGGCCTAAAGCTGGGAAAGATTGAGGGCAATAGAAGAAAGGGACGACAGAGAATGAGATGGCTGGATGGAGTCACTGAAGCAGTAGGTGTGAACTTAAATGGAGTCCAGAAGATGGTAGAGGACAGGAAGACCTGGAGGAACGTTGTCCATGGGGTCGCGATGGGTCGGACATGACTTCGCAATTAACAATAACAATAACAACCTTTACAGTATTAACTTCAGTAACGAGCATTGACTTAGTTATGTGACCCACCACTTCTAGAAGCAGAACGGGACAACTCACTGCAACTCGCTATGGCCAACTCACCACAGCCAATTCACCATGGCCAAGGGACAACTCTCTGCAGAACAATTCAACAATTCAATTTAATTATTTAAAATTATTTAAAAAACATTTTAATGTTTTGTCATTCACATTTCATTTTGTCCCTCCTTTGACATCTTTTCTTTAAATGATTCTATACCACTATTTCTTCGATATTAGTATGACTCTTGTCCTGAGTTGGCCACGGAGACT